CTAAACCCAATGCAAAGCCAGTCACAGCTTCCAGGTCCTTTGTCAATTGCCAGAGCTTCTTCTCACAAAGAGCATCCTTTTGAGATGTAGCCAAATAAATATAACCATGTGTGTGTGTGAAAGCCTAATAGAGATGAAATGGCTGTGTACTATTGATGCATAATATCTACCCAAATAATGAGAGCCCTTTCAAGATATATTCAGATATGGATTTACGTATGGTAGTTTTGCTATTATTAAGACCCAAGAACAGCATATGATTCATACAGTTTCTTTCTAAGCTGCTTGGCACCTGTCATCAACATGGAATCTTTCATATAGGTTTAAGTAAAAGATCTATAATATGAATTATTTATTTAAATATTTAATTTCTAGGCTATCAAAGTTCAAATTATTCTGAGAGTTTCCATGAAATTAAAAGAACAATTCCATAAAAGTAAGAATATCCATAGAACAAAGCTGTCCTTTAAGAATGACAACACATGGAATTACACCTAGGACGCTGCTAATCAATGAAGCTCATCCAAGAGGTGCTATTGTATATGGGCTTAATGAGCCCAACACTGCTTGTACTGCTGCATCTTGGACCATTTGTAGCTTCCAAGTGGGTCTTCAAGAAATCATGTAGAGCACATTGCAACAGTTTACGTTGCAAGGACTACAATACCCATTAAACATACCGGTATATAACATAATTATGGGATTTTTTTATGCCCAACACCTTATAGGGTACCATTTTAGAAAAATTGCTTTTAGGTGTTATAAACCTTCCCCTTCTCTTGTGAGACTAATCCTTTTGTTTTCCAGAGAAGCTGTTTTGCTGTAGGCTTGTGCCCAGATAAAAGTAAATACTTGGAGCAAATGTTTTGTTTGTTTGAAGTTATTTTATTATCAGGTATGCCATTAGTCCATATAATTGAATACCTCTCTGAATCTAGAAAGTTCTTTCCCAACCCTTGACATCTGTTTTGCATCTGACAATTAATTTATGGAATTTATAATCCCATATTAGAAGTAATTCAGGCTTTGATAGCTTTGACTATTGAAAATATTTATATGCTATCAACCGTACTGCCTTTTGGCTCTGGTGGCTTTTATATTTAACTACTGGTAATAAGTCTCTTCTCAATCATTCTAGAATGACATCAGAGATTCTGTTTCAGGTTCCCCCCTCCACCCAACTGTAGTGCATTATTATGGGCTGCATTTCCTGAGGAAATTTTAGTGACATGATTATAAAGTTATAGCCAGTCAAATTAAATTGTGGGAAAGTTGGGAAAGCAAATGAGGTTGTATAATGCTTTTATTTTGTAGTAATTAGTGTGAAAGAGTACAGCTGTTCTGCAATTGTTCCTCAATTGCAATGGATTTAAAAAGTATGTATAGAAGTATGATTATGTAATTGTTGCTGGCTTTAAAAAAAGTTTGATATTCAACCATCATCATCACCAAGTAAATGACATTTTAAAAACTCTAATCTAACAGAGTTAATCATAATTTTTTGCCTTCAAATATAACATAGATGATCAATTTTGCTAGGTCAGACCAAAGTTCTACATCACTTCACATTCAATGGTAAAAAATATGCCTTCAAACAAGACAGAATGCAATAGAACAATTCCACTCGTATTCTCCAGTAACTGACATTCAGAAGCATACTTCCTCTCATCCTGGAAGTGAGTTACAGCCATCATTTCTAGAAGCTATTTTATCCTCTCATCTTTTAAGGCCATCCTGATTAATAACTGTAATTATATCTTTTGTATGTGAACTCCATAATTTAACAAAATACCATGTGGGAAATCTGTTTATTTTTATTGGATCTGAAATTTCTATCTATGAGCTTGTAGATATTATTACCCTTAGGTTCTTCTAGTTTCCAGAAGATTCCTATGGACCATAGTTAGAAACAGAACACAGATTTAATAGAATATTAGCCTCTTCCAATAGAGCTCTCTATGGTTTTAAGGAAATTTCTACAATTCCATCAGGAACATTTGCACTTCTAAATAAGGTAGGCATTTCAGTTCCTCCTTTATTAAATAACCAAAATAATGGAAAGCAGACCAGTAATTCACAAAGGGACTGCTGCTGCTTCCTACTCAGTGCGGAATGTTTCTAAAAGCCATTACTGATTTAAAATAGCTCACTAAACCTGTAATTATTGCTCAAGCAAGTTGTCAGCCTATGGAACAAGCATAACATCAGAAGAGCAACTATGTGCAAGAGGCTGATCTTCTTTTTTAACCAAGAAAATTACAAAGAATATGAATTTGCTTTGTTATGAGTTCAACCATTGTTCTGTTTATATTCTTTATAGATTGGATTTATACAAATGACTGATAAGAACTATAACTGTTGGGTTGCAGTCTGTAACTTGAAGGAAATTCCTGAAAATGTGGTCACAGAAAGATCAGCTAGTGATTTTTGATTGTCAATTAGGATTTTAAAAAATTCACCTGGAAATTAACCTAAATTCCATCATTGGGAGGGGGGGGAAGCTGATTCCGTGGTGATTTGGAACAAACTCTTCATAACTTGAGCATAAACATTTAATGACCACCTCAGAATTTGCATGTTAAGCAGGTAATTATGTCTTGTAAATAGAAGTAAGAGAGAAGTATGGTTTTAGGTCATATAATCTTAGCCTCATCAACCTTTAAAGCCCTACTCCAACATAAGGACATTGTGAATCATCCATGATCACATTTGGGCATGCAGGTCTGAGTAGTTCCTTTAGCAAGGTAAACCCTAGGTCCTCCATTGCATTTCAAAGATTTCATCAATAAAACGACTACTTTTTATTTTGTTTATGACCGCAAACATAGCACCACTCAAATTGGGTAAATTTAATTCTTTGTTAAGCACACAACAGAGAGCAAGGGAGTCATCTAGAACATGTTCTATGCAGCCAACATTTTTGCCCATTGAAAGTTTCTTTTCCCTAGGTCAGAGGTCTTCAAACTGGGCAGCTTTAAGACTTGTGGACTTCAACTTCCAGAATTCTCCAGCCAGATATGCTGGCTGGAGAATTCTGGGAGTTGAAGTCCACAAATCATAAAGCTGCCCAGTTTGAAGACCTCTGCCCTAGGTTGTTCTTATCTACAAGGGGATGACACAAGATATGTCAAGCCTTCCGAGATGTAGTAAAATTTAAAGAAAACAATTCCAAACTATAGAGGGCAGATCCCATATCTTAAAAAAAAAAAAGTTGACTATTTTTTGCAACTATTTTCCAAATATTTTTATTAGTCCTACTTGTTTTCAAAGCAGGATAGTTTCTTGCAAAATAGGTAATTCACTTCTGAGGGACTATCACCTCCTAAATCGTATTAATGTGTCTATTAATAATACTTATTATTGTGCTTCTGTCTCTTCATGTTGAGGCATATTAACGTATTTCTTCTTCTCAGATTCTTTCCTGTCACAGAAGCTTTCTTTCCCATAAAATCTAATGCATAATGCATGCCCGGTAATCTCCCATTGTCCCAGGAAACTTTAAGGAATTAGATTTCAGTCAGGCATGAATGGAGAAACACACAGGTTCCTTGCAGGCATGTTCTCCACCTCTGGCAAGCAGACCTTCCCTTCCTCTGAATCAGAAGTATAACAGAGAGGCTTAAAACACTCCAGAAATATTGCAAAGACGAAATCAATAGAAAATGCTGGCATCAGTTGTCTGTGATCTGGAATCAGGCCTAGGACTAGAAAGATTATATATTCCTTTTTCTTGTCTGATTTCTGGCAATATTTCTGGGAGAAAATAACTACAGGTATTCCTCAATGTACGACCACAATTGAGCCCAAAATGTATGTTGCTAAGTGAGAGATTTGTTAAGTGAGTTTTGCCTCATTTTATGACTTTTCTTGCCACATTGGTTAATTGACTAACTGCAGTTGTTAAATTAGAAACACGGTTGTTAAGTGAATCTGGCTTCCCCACTGACTTTGCTTGTTAGAAGATCGCAAAAGGGAATTACAGGACTGTGGGACACTGCAACCGTCATAAATGGGAATCAGTTGTCAAGCATCTAAATGTAAATCATGTGACCATGGGGATGCTGCAAGTCATAAGTGTGAAAAATGTTCATAAGTCACTTTTTTCAGTACCATTGTAACTTCGGTCACTAAGCGAACTGTTGTAAGCCAAGGATTACCTATAGTTGCCTCTTTTCCTGCTCTGTTTCTTCCTCTTAACTTGTTTGTTTCTCTAGTTCCCACCCTTTATTTGGCCAGCCAAGATGGCACATCTACTTGAGGTGAGCAGCCTTTATCTGCAATCTTTCCCTGTCAGAAGGATTAGCTTCTCCAAGCTCTAACTGGTCCACTTACCTTTCCTCTACTGGGGAATGGCAGAGTGGAGTGGGTAGGCAGTATCAGATTGTTGACACAATTTCCTATAATAGCAACTTGTTTCTGGGGTTCCCCAATTGCTTTCCAGGGATTAACAGGGCAGTTTGAACTACTATGAATTTAATGAATGCAGTTTATAACCATAGTGGGAGAAGAGATGGATATTACAGCTGGCTGACTGATACGTTGAAACCCAGATTAGGAAAATCTCCTTTTATATAGAGTGAGAGTTTGTGGTGTACGCGTGTGTGCTTTCAGGCATTCTCTCAAGCAAACAAGTTGTGAAAGCCGATTATTAGTGTGCATGATTCAAAGCTTAGAACACCACATCTATACAAGGTGGATGCAATGTTGATTCATACATTTCAAATTTTAGCAATGCTTACACTTTCCCAAAGCGTCTACCATAATTTGTTCATCTTTTAAGATGTTGTATTTTTTTAAAAAAAAAAATTCTCAGCTTATCAAATTAAACATAAGCACAACTTGTTTGAAGGGCAAAGCTTGCCAGCAGGTTAACCTGACAGTGAAAACAGACTGGAAAGCCTTCAGTGACCTAATAATTCAGGTCCAGAAAATTACCCGTGGCTGCAAGTCGTCCTATGAAATTCTCCATTGGGTGGGGTGGGGAAAAAAAACAACAAAACTACACGCACTGCAATTTACTTTCCACTTAGGTTTTGAGTTATGAGCAGCTTTTTCTATTACAGGTTGCAGTTTAGGTTTGGCTATCCTCGAAACTCGGCTCAAAACGTGCTTTCCTTTCCACTTCGGCGTTTCCGGGAGAAGAGTCGAAGGCCTGGTGGCGGGTCAGGCTTCGTCCCTGAGGAGGCAGCGAGAGGAAGAGAAAAGGCGAGGAAGGAGCACATTTTACTCGGGCGCCACACCGGCAAGTCCCTCAGGAAGTGTTAGTTAAACGCATTGCTCGGCCCTTGGGATTGCTCCGGCATTCGGCGTAAAAGAAGAACCGAGCCCTCCATTCCACTCCCCCGCCTCCCCTCCCCAGAAATTCTGCTCCTCTTTCACCGCCTCGTTCTTTTACACCGGCTCCGAGCGACCAGGAGCCAAAGGCAGCCTCCCCGAGAGACTCACACCCAAAGACGACGCAGGCACGCCCACACCGAGGAACGCCGCCGCTGGCTAGGCTCACAGCCCTTCTTTCACATTGACGGGAGCGCGCCGGCGCGCACGCAGAGAGAGGCGTATATAAGACCCAGGGAACAGCCGATCCTCCCCCCCCCCCCCCACCCAAACCACCACCCGGAGAGAGAGAAGCGTTTCCGTGTCGGCTCAGACACGGATACTCGCCACTCGCGAGGAAGCCTTGCCCTAAACCCGCCGGTCTCAGGCAGCGGCTGTGCTGGCGGTCGCTGGCATCCTGCATGCCAAGGCTTTGAGGTCACCCTCGTATGCGCGAAGCCTGTTGCCGCAGAGGCAGCTACAGCTGGAGAGCCTCCGGGAAAAGGGACCTGAGGGGTCCCGCGGTGCCTCTTCCTCTCGGGAACTTGTCCGGGCACCCAATGCTGCTGCTGCTGATAGTGGTCCTGCCCTTCCTTTGGGCCCCCGCACTGGCCCACGTCTGGGAGGTAAGCACATCCCTCATCGGAGGCTTTCTTCGCGGGAGCGGGTGGGCTTACTCCGTGTGGGGCGGGGCGGGGTGAGTAGCGGCAAGGAAGGAATTTGTGACAAAACAAAACGAGACCAAACGAGAGATGCGTGCAGCATTAAGACGGTATTGACCTGGTTAAATGCGCGTGCAAATGCAACCGTTCGGTGTTAAGGCAAGGCTGCGAAAAGAGACCGGGAGGCAGGCTGTACTCAAGTTCCTGAACAAGCCTTCCCCAACGTGGTGCCCGCCAAAGAACTGAATGGCAGTATTAATCCAGTTGGTCCAGCTGCTGGACATTCTGTTGGGGGAGGGGCAGTGAGAACTGCAAACTGCAACCCACCATCCTCTAGAAATATCTAAGTTGCTGAAGGGAGCTGGTATAAAGTTCTGCGTTATCCTTGCTCACAATTTTCCTCAGAAAACTTGCTTTTCTTATTCAAAGATTCACAGGGCTGCTTTGGTATGGTTTGAATTGAAAACCAGGGTTTATAATTTTGCAGTGTGTGAACTCAGATATTTTGGTCAAAACTACGGTGAGCTGTCTGCTGAATTTTAGGAAGATACTACCAAGAGTTATATTATATTAACCCTTCTTACCTTCATCTGAGAATTTTCTTGCCACCTTGTGTGGCATCCTTAATGTTTCTATCCAAAGTTGATAAACTGTAAACCATAGAGGCACAACTCTGTGACTTTGTTGCAAGAGAGGACTTCTCATGCTGTTTTCTTTTGGGGTAAACACCTTATGCAGAGTCCAAGAAAAGAGTAAGAAAAGAGAATACACTAATGAGATTAGAAAATAAAAGCAAGCATAAAAAACTAGGCTAGCACTATTTTCTTCCTGGGTACTTTTTTCTGTTTTTAGAAATTATCCTTGTTTCTACCACATCATATTTTATACAATGCTGCTTTTCTTTAAACTGCTCTCCTTTCTGTTTCTGAAAATCTCAATACTTCATCCAACTGTCTTTCTTTTTTCTCTCAATTTACTTACTTTATCTTCATATATTTGTTTTGCGATTCAGTCATAATTCCCACTCTATATGACCAAACCACTTCAATACTTTGTATTCAATCCATATTTACTTAGCATTTATCCTTGGTACTATTTCTTATAATCTCCCATTCCTGCTCCATTTAACTATGTAGCTTTTAACACACCCAGTTCTCACTTCCATATATCAAAATAGGCAGAAGCACATGTTTAAACACAATTTTCACTTCTTTCAACAGATTCCTCATAACAAACCATTACTGCCTTTGTACCATTATTTGGGCATGTTAAAATGTCTGCATTCATGTTCCTATGTTAAATGTCCTACCAAAGTACACAAATTCATCTGCTTGCTCTAGTTCATGGGTGTCAAACTCATGGTGTCAGGTTGCCATCATGTGACGTTTCATGACATTTTTTCCCTTTGCGGAGCTGAGGTGGGCATGGCCTGCATGTGACGCATTTGGCCCGCGGGCCGCCAATTTGACATCCCTGTTCTACGTTATACAATTAATGTAGGACTTGCAATCATTTACTCCATTTTCCTTGTGAAGTATGACTACTGTAAGTCTTTGATGCATTATTTTTCAGACCCATAATCCCTGGTGCATCATTCAATTTATCTAAACATTCTGTGCAAATTATTTAGATTCTCAGTCAACAACATGCATTATCTACAGAAAAGTATCTATGCATTTACATCCTTAGCCAACATATTTCTATAGTCAACCTATGGATTTCTATTTTCTTGTGCACTGACTTAGAACTTCATTCTTTAATATTTATTGAATATATTTATTTATAAATGTATTAATGTATTTATTATTTAAAAATGTATTATTAATAATACATTTTATCCTTTTCATTCATAAATACTTTCACTTCCCTGCATGTATTTGTCATATCTTGTTCATACAATCAGGCCATCTTTATTAGGCTCCATGATATCCTTCCCTTTCTCTTACTTTAAGAAACATACAACTTTCCTTTCTCATACTTTTTATCTTACTCATACCTCTTATATTCTAAGGAGCAATCTCCTATATGCAGTGGTCCTAACAATATGGCGCATAGATACTGACTTCTATCCCAATTGTGTTTTGGTCAATTAAGTTTTACCATAATTTTTAGTAAGATAGCATAAACTAGACCACCCATTTTATTCTGCCTATGCATCATGCAATATTCCTTGTTGGTAATGGTTAGGGCATAGTTGGCACAATTTGACCAGTAGGATATTATTGGAGCCAAGAATTAAATATATGTCTGTGGTGATTCTCAAACATCCAGATCATAGTTGTTGCAAAGACGCTTTTCAAGAGGCAACTGGACTTTCTTGGTTTTTTTTTTCCTTGAAGACTTCTTGGATGAGAAGTGAAATGTCTTCAAGGAAGTCCAGTTACCTTTTGAAAAGCACCTTTGGAATGACTAAATACAGAAATTGGTTATACATACCGGTATGTATAGTATCTGGGCTTCCGTATCATAGTTTAAAAGGAAAAGCAAATGCAGAAGGTTACAGATATTACTGGAAAAATGGGGAATGGGATGAGGGGTTGATTCTTTCTTTGCCATCCATTTTTTATTTAGAATTATGGTCTTTTCTCTTTTCCTTCCATTGGTAGCTTTCCCCCCAGATGATAGAAATAAAGAACAAGTGTAACAAGCCTTCCTACCACTATTTTCATACTTAAATTTCCATGTTGTACATCAACCATAAAAACTTAAAGAGGGTTGCATTTAATATCTGGCTTTGACCCTATGTTCTCCTACTCTCAGACAAAGCCCTTTCCTGGGCACCAAACAAATTTTATGTAAGGGGATCCCCACAGCTGTAGTGTAATAACTTGACCTTTGAAGCAAAGGAGTTCAAGTGAACAAACCTGAAGCACACTACAGAATAAAGCAAATTCAGTTCCTTTGAACAAGAAACAGTATCTACTGATGAGTTTGGTTTCCAGAAAACACAACTTGGATGCAGGTGATGAGACCTTGGCATTGTGTGCTCAGCTTAGCTATAGTCAAAACAATGATAACGACTTTCTACTAAGAAGGAAGCAATATCTGTTTTTTAAATAGTTCTGTGATTATGGAGATGTTCAATAGAATTCTTTCTGATCAGCAAAGGGTAGGCTGTGAGAAGTTTCTGTTCAACCCAAAATATGAGGCAGGCATAATTCTGATAACTGCAAGCTGTGCTATAGTAATCTATGTGGTTTGAAACACCAAACCAGAATTTCACAGGCAAGTACAGACAAAAAGAAAAGAAAAAAGAGTAGCTCTCATGCATAAATCTTGTGCAGTTTGGTATCACACATTTTTCCTTTTTGTTACATTTGTATTTATTTATGTTATTGTTTAGTCACTAAGTCATGTCTGACTCTATGTAAGCCCATGGGCCATAGTACGCCAGGCCTTCCATCCTCCATTGTCTCCATTGAATTTGCCTAAATTCATGTTCCTTGATGACACCATCTAATCATCTTATCCTCTGCTGAGCCCCTTTTCCTTTTGCCTTCAATCTTTCCCAACATCAGGGTCTTTTCCAATGAGTCCTCTCTTCTCATTTGGTGGCCAAAGCATTTGAGCTTCAGCTTCAGTATCTATCCTCCCAAATAACAGTCAGGGTTGATTTCCTTTAGGATTGACTGATCCTTGATCTCCTTGCAGTCCAAGGGACTCTCAAGGGTCTTCTCCTACACCACAATTTGAAAGCATTATTTATTTATATCCCATCTTTATTATTTTTAGGCAGCAAACATATCCAGCACACCTTCCTCCTCCTATTTTCTGCAGTGCAAGTGGGACTTCAGAGTTCCATGGAGTTCTTCATAAGATATCCAGCCAGGAATTGGCAACATCTTACATTAGATACAGAAAAAAATAATGATAGGGAAAAGATTTCATTAAGTTAGAAATTTCTCACTGCAATACAGATGCAATTTTGATAGTGTGGGGCTTCCTTCATCAGGAAGCCTTTGAGAATTGCTTATTGTTTGTACTTTATTCACTTTTGCCACTCTGAATCATGAAATTAAGTTAAAAAGTGAGAAAATAATCATATGTGTTCTAATCATACAGGATGACAGATGCAATCAAACAGAATGGCAAAAACCTTTAGACGGAGGAGCATCAAATGAGAAAGGTAAGGCCTTTTTACCCATTTCACTGTCAAGTGACTCAGAGCAGCTTTTTACCCATTATCACTGGGAATTGCCAGATAGAACATTTCAGGAATAATCACATTGTACCCTGGGCCATCAAAATTATAATGTGTCCACACGTTTTTAAAGCCACAGTAATTTCCCTGGAGACCGCTCCAAGGAAGAATGGGATAGAGATTGAAGGGAGTCAGCAAGGTATTTCTCGTCTTTCTTGCCTTAATTTCCCAGGGAGATGCGGAGAAAGCGCTTGACTTGGGGAATGTAAGATTTCCTCTCCTTCCACTCAGTTCAGCATCTGTGGAAACCTAAATTTGAAAAAAAAAATCCTTTTAAGTCAAAGATTCACAAACATTGTGGTTGAGAAATACACTAGACCATGGTTAACTGAACTATGGTTTACTGAATTAATCTGATTAGGCTTCAGTTTACACAACAAACTGAAGCCTAAAATAAATACAGAGGCTGGATTCATACAACATGCCAAAGTAAGCTATAGCTGTCTAATTTGAAATGTACTGTGTCATTCAGTAATAATTAAAATGATTGTGGCATTAAATTACATCAAATTTCAAGTTTGTGCTCATGGAATATATTTATGCCTATTGGCCTATTCTTCATGTAAAAAAATAATGTTCTGTTTTGCTTTGATTCATATAAAGTATTATGTCAACCTTTTTTATTGGATTCTTCAGAATTTGAGAGCATGTTATCAATAATCACAATAAATGTTTTCCACTATGGGTATGTCCATTCAAAAAACTACAGTTGAGAAGGCTAGTCTGGGGATGTTCTGTATTATTTTAGGTTATTTTTATTTATTTTTCTGAGCAGGCTTCAAAATAAAGCACTGGGCCTCAGTCACTCACAATTATATTCTAGAAATGCCTCTGGGGTCTCGGGGTGGAGGGGGGCAAAGGCTTTGTTGGAAATACAGGTTATGCTTAGAAGTTTGTGCTTTCCTTTGCAGTACTTTGTACTAATTAAGTTTTTTAAAAAAAATATTAGGTGAGGCACAAAAAATGGTGTCCATGCACATTGACATCATGTTGTACACCCATTGAGTCATTAAGTTCAGGCAGGTTACAGATCTCAATGTCTGTTTTTTCAAAATACATTAAGCTAAAATTAAGTATATCATAATAAGATTTAAGGCAATCAATGGCTGTAACCAGTTTTCAGAGAATCTTCTAATCCTCAGGTTCAGCTTTTCTAGAAGCACTGTGTACTGCCATGGATACTGCACTCAGCAAACTCTGGGTACCCTTTTCTGAACAAGCAAAAATGTATTTTGCTAGCACTAAGATGCCATGTTGCATATGTGTTCGAGAGGACCAATAGCAGGCCATTAGTTTTAAAACTTGAGTTCATTCTTTTCCAATAGCAATGAAATCAAATACAGATTGTAGAGAGCTGACATTTTCTTGAGGTTTTTTTTGTCAGTGTTAATTAAATCAGGCCACATGCTTGCTCAACCATTAATTGTAGCATGCAGGAATCTCAAATAGGTCAGTTCAGCACATGCCACATACATAGCAATTACCAGAGGATAAGACTAGCATAGACTGTAAAACAGGTTTTGCAAGCAAACAGATTTGTACTTTTTTTATAATGTTAGGAACCAAATACAGTATTTCTACTACAAAATAAACACTAAACTTTCTAATTATA